AATTAATTAATTAAAATGATAGTAATTATTTGCACCTGTAGCAGATTACGAGGGTGAGCAGCAGGATTAGGGCGACCGCGATTGGGTCCATCTGGTTGTAACCGTCGGGCAGGGTGCGGATCGTGATTCTCAAGCGGGTCGGGCCGGGGAGGCCGAGCGCGGTACCGAGGTAGGCCGTGAAGCCCCTGGCGACGGCGGCGTTGGACAGGACGTACTCGGCGATCAGGTTGGCGCCGGCGAGGAAGGCCGGGAACTCCCCGAGGGTGACGCGGATGTAACTGAAGGCGCCGCCGGCGACGGGCATGTCCACGGCGAATTCGGTGTAGCAGAGGGCGGAGAGGAGGGCGCAGAAGCCGGCGATGGCGTAGGAGAGGACGACGGAGGGGCCGGCGAGGAGGCGGGCGGCGTGGCCGGTGGTGACGAAGACGCCGGCGCCGACCATGCCGCCGAGGCCGAGTCCGACGAGGTCGTACCAGCGGAGGGTGCGTTTGAGAGTGGATCCGGAGCGGGACCTGGCGATCTCATCGGATGAGGTGGAGGCAGAGAAGGCGCGGAGGAAGAGGCGGTTGGGGGTGTCGGAGAGTGCCCGGAGATAGGATGGGAGAGTGGAGAAGGAGGAGGCGTGTAGCACTTCGTTTGCGTTTCCCCTCGAAATATCTATTTCCATCTGTCTTTCCTTTTTTTTTTTCTTATTTTTATTTTCTAATTTTCTCTCTCACTCTCTTTTTTATCGTTTTGTAATAGAATTGGAAGATTTTTGAAGGGAGTGTGAAGATTGTGAGGGCAGGCCGAGGCCGGTATAATATATATCTTTACAGTGATATAGCACTCAATTATACATACAAATATTGATAGTATTTGATTGCGCTTTATTCTAATTATTTTTTTAAAGTATGTATGACTTTCGAATCTAAAGGTAACACTTTTAAAAAATAATATAAAAATAACAACTAAAAATGAGCAGATTGACATTGTCATAAACTACTTCCACAAGTCTTCGGGTAATCACAGTGAATCATGCGTATTGGAATGGCATAATGTTCCCAGTATAAAATAATTAATATAATATGGAAGAAGATAAAATTGATAATTATTTTTCATTTTGTTGATGTTTGTGGCCTATATAATATGTTTATTGATGACCCCAAATATTTATCAATTCTGAGGCTCAATATTCTTTGGTCTGAGTCTAGTAGGCAACCCATTTTGATCTAATGTGATCTTGGTCGTTTGTATTTAAGTGGCTTGATCTCCGTTGTTCGTTGCCCTCTTTAAAATACCTGGTATATCCCTAAGATTCTTACCTCTCCAAAACAGTCAATAGGATATTCAGCTTATACTCTCGGTTTCTGACTCTCTCGCTCTCTTTTCGACTGTGTGTCGAAATTGACTCAATATTCTTTTTCTATATTTCGAAATTTTCGTGATAAGGCAATTGTGAGTTTGGTGAGGGTCTTTCCCGTGTATTCAGAGGTGTTTGAGGGTTTTGTGTAGGAGTTTTTTTTAGGCAGAGCTTTGTGCGACGGTCGGTGGTGTTACCACTAGGCCTGCAGTGCCGAATTTATTGAAGCACATATCCATCGATCGGTTCTTTGGTGACTCATTTTTTAGGAATTGATGAAATGGGATTGAGCCCGGTCATATTCGACCCATTCTCGTAGCATTCGGGTTCTCATATTCACTAGTAAGCGAATTTCAATAGGAATAAAATTTTGTGTGTATGATCACTTAGAAGAAACGAAATCCAACTGAGTCACATAGAACAACTACAACACACATATATATAGTGCAAGAATTAGCTAGGCCGACAAAGAACAATGAATTTTATCTCATTTATTTTCTCCTAAGAGTTTCTATTTACTTAGGTTTATTCATATAATAAGTAGAGTACTTTTTTGGAAATGAGTCAACCTAGCTAGTGTAGCTAAAATGAATAATAGCTACGCCATTATTAGTCCATACATGTTGCTTTTCTCGTTTGCTATTGGCGCAACATTTCAAAATTTCCACATTCAGTCAACAATTTACAAATCTGATAAAGATTTATTTGGCGAAAAAGCAACTTTGTCACGCGTAATTCGATGATGATTATTACAACCAAAAGTCTAGTCAAAAGGCATGACTTTTTATATAGGCAGCATATATATATAAAGATAAAATATTTCTACCAAGAGCGCTTGGATGAGATGACTTTGGTCTCTTCCAACTTAATCAGTGGTCTCGTGTTCGAGCCCTGAGAATGCAGTAATGTTAAAAACTCCTGAGAGAGAGTTTTGCCGCCCTTGTGGTCATATCCGGCTCGATTTCAGATTAATCGGTTCCCCTGTGGATCCGAAAACCGGAAGGTCTATGTACAAAAAAAAAAAAAAAGATTTGTAAAGCAATATATTGCGGGAGATGGAAGGAACTCTCAAGCTGAGAGATTAAGCGTATCTAAACTACGTAAGATAACACTGCCACTGCGTATTAGTGCTGGTTAATTTCAATTTTAAGAGTCAAATAAGCATTAATTTATGTGTTGGATGCATATGCATTAAATTTATTTTTGTACATAAATATTAAGTAAATAAATGAACATACCTAGAGATGCAATGCATGTGAGAATTCATCATTACCTCGAGATAAATTTAGTGTCTCATTTCATTTCATTTTTTTAAGGGCATATTCTTTAAGTAAAATATATAATTACAACCAGTTAACTAGAAATGTTCCCCTACACACTGTGAGCACATGTTAATATGTCCACCGCGTAGATGGCATGCACTCATTGATGATGTTAATATGTTTAAAAAAATACATCATCAATGAGTGCATGCCACCTACACGGTGGACATATTAACATGTGCCCACCGTGGGTAGGTGAGCATTTCTCACAGAAACTAAATGAAATAGGAAGACTACACAAAAATAGCCTAGATACCCGAATTTGTATAAAGTTTAATAGTATATCATACAGTAATGTTTTCTTATTCACGGTGGACATATGTTAATATGTCCACCGTTTATGTGGCATGCACACATTGGTGATGTATTTTTTTGAACATATTAACATTACCATATTTTTTTGAAGATATTAACATTACCAATGTGTGCATGTCACATAAGCGATGGACATATTAACATGTGTCCACTGTGGATAGGGGAACATTAAGTCTAGTAATTTAACCCGGTCATGCCCTTGGCGCAAAACTCGAGCCCCTAACCCGCTTATCATCAAGATCCGATTCCATCGAAGGGTCCATATAAAAGAGGAAGGTCTAAACCCCCAAAAAGCTCTTGCACAATTCCAATCTGTGGAATGGCTATGAGATCTGGGATTTCCCTCCGCAGAGCAGTGTGTGGTTTAATGGAGGGCAACTGCAACAGGCCCTCCTCCCTTCGCTATTTCAGCGATGGCAAAGGTCGTATTCTCAGTGAAGAAGAGCGAGCTCAAGAAACTGTTTATATCCAGGTTGTTGTTTATTTGTCAATATTATATGTATATATGCCTTTTCATGTCTACTGTATTATATTACTTTTTAATTGAATTTGTTCTGGTCTGGGCTGAAGAAAATGGAGAGGGAAAGGATGGAGAAGCTGAAGAAGAAGGCGGCCGAGCAAGAGAAAGCTGAAAAAGAAAAATCGGACAAGGTAGCACAACCTTTTATTTATTTATTTATTCATTTATTTTGTGTTTGGTTACATCAAAATTTTCATGTCTTGTTGGATTATCGTATTCCGTTTACTGATTTGAAGATAACGGGCTTGGTTTTACCAGTATTTTTAGTAAAAATTGTGAGCTCCCAGATGTTCAAACTGACGAAATTGTGGTTTTATTTAGCAGTGAGGCCCTCAAATCATGTAATGTAATCTTGATTTCCATCTGTTATTGCTCGGGCCACCGTGTAAATGTGTAGCATCTGATGAATCAGGGGGTGTTTTGCTAACTCTGGAAAATATGTTACTCGGTTTGTAAGTGGAATAATGCTCTCCAGGAGCGGAGCTAGGATTTTATGTCCACCCGGGCTATAATTATTTAACGAAAATAAATAAATATATGATAATATTGCAAATAAGATATCATTTTCCAAGTATGTTTATCAAACATGCATTTTCATCTCATCATTTTAAATTCAAAGAATAACTAAATTCAATGGTGGTATTTGAATGGTTAGAAAAATATAAGAAACCAAAGCCTAATAAGTGGAAAAAAAAATATTGTAATATAATGTAAACTTACAAAAATATATAAATAATAAACAAAATAAGTACACATAAATATCAGGAGTAAAAATTGCAAATATATTACATCACTCTTTAAATTTTACAAGAGCATATGAACTCAATATTTGATAATAACAACTAAGCATTAAATAAAAGCTAAATTAATTAGAAAGGACTCTAGACACATTTCTAATAAATTAATTCATAATACATAGATATGCTTTTCAAAATTCCATCCACATTAGTATACTTAAATAAATTTTTAAGTATAAATTGAAAAAAACATTACAATATTATGTGAAATATGTGCATTAGTCTCAATTGTTTGGTCACTAACCGGGCTGAACTGGAAACAGAACACCAAAACATATATTAAGCTAATGGTAGGCATTGGAAGAGGCACCCGGGCTACAGCCCAGGCTTATTCACATGTGCCTCCGCCCCTGATGCTCTCTTTTCACCTAGAGAAAGTGCTTCAGGTGTTAGAGAACTTTTTTTTACCATGAGCAAACACTTCTTGAAGCTTGAGAGATGATAATGGGGTTTGTATTTTTTGTGTTGGTTTGAATCATTTATGTGCCTACCATAACTGCAGTTCTAATTC